CCAAAATGAGCCCACTGGAGTCAGGGATATCCCAGACACTGTCAGTGATGCATTTCAGCCACAGCACACGTCTCCTCCAGCCCCGCCAGAGATGGTCATTACAGCCTCAACACATGGGTCCTGCCACTTCCACAATGCAAATATAAACTGCTGACATTCCCTTAAAAAACCATCATCATAGATGAAGATATTATTTATGCCTCAGCAATGCATGCTTACAGCCTAGAAAGCCTGGGCTGCATCAAGAGCAGCGTGGCCAGCAGGTCAAAGGAAGGAATTCTGCCTCTCTACTGTGCTCTGGTGAGACCTCACCTGGAGTGCTGTGCCCAGCACCTCTCCTATGAAGACAGGCTGAGAGCTGGGGTTGTTCACCCTGGAGAAGAAAAGATTCTGGGGAGACCTCACTGTGGTCTTTCAGTACTTAAAGGGGGCATATAAAAAAGAGGGAGATGGGCAGGCTGGAGGGAGCCCTGAGCAACCTGATCATCTCTGCCCATGACAGGGGGGTTTGGAACTAGTTGGTATTTAAGGTCCCTTCCAAGCCTAATCCTTTTATGAGGGGAATAAATACTCTTTGCTTGTCCATAGAGAATTTCAGGGCATCACTGGGCATTTCTCACCTGTCAGAATTCCCCATCTTTAACCCCATTAATAAGCTGATCTCTGTTTATCTTATGGAAAAAAAAAAAACAACCCAGAATGGTTTTTTCCCCATCACATTCTCCTTTTCTAATTAGATACAGGAGCTTCAATCTAGATGCTACTGTCAGCAAGACAACACACTGATGATGTAAAGTTTCATCAAAAGGACTGATGGTTTAGAGGAGTTTTGCTGACACAAAAACACCAGCCCAACCTTTGCAATATGTGTTAGTCCACAGCACAACAGGGCATCAGTTCAAAAGAGCAGAGCACAGGCAAGGTAGATCAGCCCTCCCTTATCTCACAGGGTGGGAAAAGGGGTGTGAAAAGACTGAGTCATTTGTGTATAGCTACAGGAGGAACTGATCAGAGCTGGAAGTGAAAATGTAAATCAAGTCTCTTCAAATCCAGCTTAATACACAGGTACAAGACAGTCAGCTTTTCCTATGAAAGCACATATGTAGTGTCATTAGGAGCACCTCAGGAACATCCAGAAATACATGCTGGGGAATTTGTCTTTTCAGATGGAGAGAGGGAAGAGGAGTGTTCCTATAACATAAACTACAAACAAATCAAATTCCTCTATCAATACTGATATTCAGGGCTTGATGTACACTGAGAAATGTGGAAGTAAAGAGGCAGCTCAAATGCATGAAGCAGCCTCCTCTCCAGTTAATGCTTGTTTCATCTTAGACAGACCTCAAATATTACCCTTCAAACTAATTTGCATTCAGACCACTTCTACCTTTATTTCCTGTACTTCAGTTTATTCCTGGTTGGTGAACAGAAATTAATTTTGCCCTCACCCATCTGCACATGCTCAGTTCCTGCTGATTCCTACAGAGTTTCTCTCTACTAATTGGCTTGTTTTACAGCAGTTTCAAATCTATCCAGAGAGACCAGAAGCAAAAATAATGATTTTGAGTGTAGAAACTTACCATGCAAACACTTGTAACTGTTTTCTTGCTGTCAGGAATTATTGCGCCTTTAGGGAAAGCAAAAGCCAATAAAAGCCTGGATACAGTAGGACTACAGCTGAAAGCATAGGGAAAAAAAAGTGTAAAATGTTATTATATGCAACCAGAGAGACATTTCTGTGAGTCTGTCAAAGCATTTTCATAAAGAGGTGGAAGAGTGGAAAAGTTTATCCTGGTTTCTATATAGAAAAGCCAAACAAAAAAGATAGAGCAGAAGACTCAGCAAAAGAACATGCTTAATCCTATTAAAATTAATGAGATTTCATCCTGTTCTCCACACACTAGTTGTAGTAGGAGTTTAACTTAAGTGGATTTAAAAACAGATTTAGTTAAAGTGCCGCAAAGTCTCCTCAAGCCAAACAAATATAAATCCAACACAAACGTACATGTAAAATTCAACACAAATTTTATCAGCCACTCTCCTTCACCCCTTCTTTAAAAAAAAAAAAATCTGAAACCAGGACACATGAGAAATATATACTGACATGTTTTGCTGGACTATTGCATAAGTAGTTCTCTGGGCTTGGCACCAAGTCAGAGTCAGGTGGAGCCAGGGAAGGCAGTCCCAATGCCCTCCTGGACAGTCACTGTTAGCAGAAGCAGTGAAGGGGACTTGCTGAATGTCTCAGTAAGTTAATAAAAAGGCTCTTGAACACAGACCACCTCTCCTTCCCTCTCTGTGTACTTAGGGAACAACAGAGGTAACTGTGGGGGCTTGGGCACCCCATGGCCACATCTGCAGAATACAATTTAGCTGTCCTTTAGGGGGCAAAACTCAGCTGAGTCTCCCCAAGCAAAGGTGCCAGGAGCTGTGATGATGCACAGATATAATCCAGGCACACCCCTGCAACCCACACTGCCAGCACAGGCCAAACTTCCTGCTCAAATGGGGGACCAGCTGGTTCCTCAAGCAGGTGCAAGATGTACAAATGGACTGTGGGTCCTGCCACCCTGGGGGACAGTCCAGCTGGCTGCAAGTAAACAAGTATCCGTATCCTTGGCTCTCTACCTTCTGTTCCTTTCTTTACAGCACATCGTCCTGCAAGAAAGCAACCAACCAAACAAGCACTCAGCATGCTTTCCAAATGGTTGAGGAGTTCTGTGCAACGGGAGGAAAGGACGTAATGAAGAATCCAGACACACACACACTGTCCTTCCAGACCTGACATTCTGCAAAGGGTGTTTAAAGACTAGCCCTCCCACCATGGCAATGCCACCACTGGAGACAGGGTTTCAGTGCCATCCTCTCTGACAGCACCAGGCAGCAGCACGCCTACCTCTCAGCACTAAAACCCAAGATCTGAGCCTTGAGGAGGCTGTGCCCAGAACAGCAAAGAAAAATAAAGCCGGCAAAGGAAATGAAACAGTCTCAGACGTTTTGGCATCTATGGTGATGGACATTCCAAACTGCCCTGAGGAAACTTCATTCCAGCGAAATCACAAGAACAGCAAAGCAGAGCCCCTCAGCTAAATGCAAGGTATTTACCTGCAGAACCAGAGCAATGCACAAGCCAGACAGCAAAACAGCAAGCAGCCAAGTGCTACTTTACACACCAGCAAGACAATCATGTAGTTCCACTGAGCATTATAGCCCACTTCTGCAGTTCTTGCTACTTACTTTCACTGTGTAAGTTGTTCACAGAACCATGCAGAAATGTCCGTGCAGACATTACTTCAAGAAGGGAATCTCCATACCATGGAGGAGATAAGCTGTCCTTTCCTGAATGAATTGCTGCCCCACAAGCACCCTGAGCACCTCACCTGCATGAGGACTCTCTTGGATTGCCAGCATTCTAAAGCTGGAATAGCTGTGAACCCAAAATGCACAACCAGGTGCTGCCTGCACTAATTTTCAGCACTGTCACTGTCCCTGCAGTGCCAGAAGCATCCTTAGACTCCAGCTGCCAATTCACAACTCCTTCACTAACTCCCCCAGTCTAAGCTGTAGGAAGGAAACCAGCAATGACTGGAGGAATGAACACATCAAATGCTTGCCTCCATCAAGCAACAGAGGGCTCAATAGCAGTTTATTTCACAGGACTTCTTGGCTCTGCTATCACCCAAGTCAACAGCCCCCTGGGAGCCCTTCCCACACCCAGACAGCCTGGTGTCATTGATATGTGGGGTGTGACGAAGGATTACACCTGCAGAACAACCTTGCTGAGCCAGAGCACATAGTGTCAGATGGTATCCAGCAAAAGCACACACAGCCCTCCCAGCCCTTTTAAGGGCAGGAGGAAGAAAAAGTCATAAAGATCAACTGGTCTGGCTGCTGGTTCAGCACAACCCGTGGAGTTTTACCCTACAATTACTGTCTTGGACAGGGGTGGGAAGGGTATCTCATGTACCTCACAAATGAACTTTGAACCAGCTGTGTACATAGGTACAGACATCTCCTTCAGAAAAGCATGCCATCCCAACTGAAACAAGGACAAATGGCCAGCTGGTTGTCATTGCTCTGCAATGCACAGCAGCTGAGCAACTACCTGCAAGTCCTGGTGAATTGACTGCTTTTTCCTCCTGCTTTCCAACGCACAAACATCTCCATTCCTTAATGTCCCTGAAACGTTCTCACTTGAAAATTTAGGCGGTAACATACAAGTGAAAAGTCTGCTAGTACATTTCCTGCAATCCAGGGTACGTACCCAGACATTTTAAATACATCACCAGGTCTTCAGCATTGAAGTTTTTCATCTCCAAGGCTTGAAAGTTTGCTTGCAAATTACTCATGTAGCCTTCAAAAAGCCTGTGCCAGGAGACTTCCCTTAGAAAGCAGAGGCTTCAGGTTGTGTGGATGTGCCAATAAGAATTTCAATAATAGCTAACCAGATGCAAAGTCTGTTTCCTGGCAGATGGGTTATAAATCCGGCAGGGAATTTGCAATTAAAAACAAAAAATAAAGATGTCCTCACCAACATGTTAAGAGACATGTAGCCTGGAATTTCTTCCAAAAAAGTACTAAAACAATACATGTGTGTATGCATGCATTATACACACATAAAAGCCAGAATCAAGCAGCAAACACACCCAACACATGCACAAATCTACTACAGACATGAAAGCTAATAAAAATTGATGGTTTCCTTCTAAACTATCCATTGTCACATAATGGACTGCACTAACATACACAGTAGTGGTTGATTATGGTAGATAGATCAGAATAACACAAAAATACATGCACTTTTGAGACAGAAACATTGCATCAACCTGCATCCTAGTTTTCAAAGCTACTGCTCAGTCATAAACCCTCTGAGGACTAAAGGGCACCAAATGTTCCCTATCAGCAAGTTTACATTGCTCATCAAAACTACGTGGCAATCTGTCTTAAGGTGGGGAGGATTTCTTCGGTTTGTCCCTCCAGCAAGCAGTCAGATAACTCACTTGAGCAGGAAAGAGCAGTGGTGTTGCATGACCAAGTCTGGCAGGGATTCAGTCAGCTAACATGCAGGACACCAAGGCACATTACTTGACACGATCCTGCGACGGGAGCTTTTGCCAATCCTAGAAAACAAAGTTTGGGAGACAGAGGGGAAAGTTAAAGGGTTTGCCAAATCCACCAGAAGAAGATCCACTGCAAGAGGATATCCCCACAGAATGCCATATTTGAGAGCTTGGTCAAAGAACGGTGTTTATTCTTCCTGCTATTTCTTGGACTCCAGCTGACACCTTGCTAACATTGCACAGGGTACAGTTAAATCCTCTGAAAACCTTCACTTCAGCTAGGATAAATTGAAAAACACTTCAGTGCAATACCACAGGATGCCACTTACCAGCCTAACCTCATTTGCACACGCTCAATATTATTTATTCGGACACACGATATATTTACATATCAGTGATGCCGTGCCTAAGGGTGGCGACTCCTACAGACACCGGATCTTTGAGGTGGTCCATAGGGCCTAAAAATGTCACAGACCGGCGGCGAGTTACTTGCTGAGTCAACCACCTCTTCCCCGCAGTGAGACCCAGCTCCCACCGCTCCCGCCTCCCCACCAACAAAACACCTACAAGCGTCCACAGACCGCAGCGCTCCTGCTGCGGGGGCAGGGCTGCAACTCACCGCAACATCTATTCGCAACTCGTGCCACAAACGCACTCGCAACTTATGTGGCGGTTCACGGGAACGGCTCCGAGCCGCCGCTCGCCGCCCGCGGGCCGCGCTCCCCGCCCGCCGCACCCGCCCGGCTCCGCGCCCGCGGAGAGCCCGGCACGGCCGCTCGCCCGGCACCGCGTCCCGCCCGCCCGCGCTCCCCCAGGCCCAGCAGGAATCACCGCCCGCCCGTAACTCACGGCGTGGCGGGGTCCGGCGGAGGAGGCGGCCGCGGGGAGGGAGAGGCGCTGGCGCGGCCCCGCGGGCAGGGTCGGGCAGGGAAGAGCCCAGGAAGGGAAAGGAAAAAACGCCGGAGACCCGCGGCCCCGCCACATGCCACGGCCCGGCCCCGCCTCGCCCGAGCCCATTGGCCCGGCTCCCCGAGCCCGCCCTCCGCGCGGGGCCCGCCCCTCGGCGGTCGCCCCGGAAAGGCCCCGGGAAGGGCCCGGGGCAGGGCGGGCGCTGCCCGCGGAAGTGACGGGCCACGGCGGCCCCGGAGAGGGCCCTGCTGGGTGTGCGCTGCCCGCGGGTTAACAGTCCTTGCAGTTCTGTCCAGGGCACAGCGGCGAGAAGCTGTGCTCACACCGGGCTGTTTCCCTGCTCCTCCTGGGTTTCCATGCCGTGCGCTCCGGCTGCGGGTGGTGGCACAGCAGCGGGAGCGGCCTCGGCAAGCTCCCGTCGGTGCCGGCCCGTTTTGCGCGGTGCCGACGCCGGGCTGGACGCGGCTCTGGGCAGCCTGGGCTGGCGGGAGGTGTCCCTGCCGCGGCAGCGGGGCTGGAGCTGCATGAGCTTGAAAGCCCCTTCCGGCCCAAACTATTGCATGGTTCATTTTCATCACCCAGCAAGAGAGAAAAAAAAGAAAATTAAAAAAAAAAAAAATTATGTACTGGCTAACAGCGTCTTGCTGTCCTGGAGTATGAGAAACACATTCCACCACAATCCAAACATCCCTGTTCCCATGTAACCCCTACACTGTGCAAGTCATTGCTTTACGGACACACCAGTCCACTGCCCTCAGCATTGCTTAAACAGAGATTGCTGCTGAAATAAATACTAAATCAAAGACCAGAAGTCAGCTCTTTGACAATTGTTTTGTTGTTTGAGTATTGCTGTCTATGGCAAAAGTTTGCACATCAGCAGCCCCCAGCTGCTTGGGGCAAACCGTACCAGCAGCAGAGCTTTGAATATTTATAGACCATGTACTGCTCATCTACATACAGACACATACACGATATAAATATCTGAGCTGCACTCTGAAGTGTGGAGCTGGCTCCACGAGATGGCATCCGGTGAAGGACCTCAAGAAATCATGGGTGCCCATTTCTGAGCAAGCTGAATTCAGCTCCTTTGGGTTATTCCCAGATTGCCCAGCAAGGCATTAGACACTGGAAAAAAATCTTTACTGTGGACGTGGTGAGTCACTGGATCAGTTCTCCCAGAGAAACTGTGGATGTCCCATCCCTGTCAGTGTTCCAGGCCAGGCTGGATGGAGCCCTGAGCAACTTGGTCTAGTGGAAGGTGTCCCTGTCCATGGCATGGGGGTGGGAACTGGGTGACTTTAAAATCTCTTCCAGCTGAAACCATTCTGTGATGCCATGAAAAAAGAGCCATCAAAAAAAAAAAAAAAAAAAAAAAAAAAAAAAAAAAAAAAAAAAAAAAAAAAAAAAAAACCAACCAAACAAAAAAAACCATGCAGAAACCAGCCTTGTGCACACACAGACACAGTCCAGACTCTGAGCTGCTTCACATAGTAACTGTACCATTAAACAGGTGAGGAAGGAATCCTTGTTCCTTCAAGTCATGTATGGATTTGTCTGCTACTGCTAATCTGGCCGTAGATGAAGGTGATGCCAAAATCATTCACACATTCCAATGTAATTTTAGAACACAAAAATTTGCTTTTCAAAATGAGCAGTGAGGAGGAGGAGGCGGAGGAGCTGAAACCCTGGTCCATCAGTTAATTAAAAATAGACAAAATGCAAAGCTGGCATTAGGTAGTCCATTTAAAACATGTCTGTCTGTATACATTGTGTAGATATATCATTCCATCATTCATGTAGGATACCAGCATTTACTGAAATATTCCCTCCCCTCCTTTCCAGAGGAGGAGGAAGGGAGAAGGAAGCTCAGCAATGGAAGAGAATTAGAAGGGACAGCTGAAGGGGGGAGGGGGGCTGTCTGCTGTAGGACAGATTATCTGGCAGGACCAAGCACAATGGTGGAGGAAATACTGTGAAGCTGTCGAGCAAAGCACAAGGACTTGCGGCCCTTAGGGTTGGTGCAGTGGAAAACAAGCACATTTTTGGGAAAAACAGTCTCAGGAGAAAAAAAAAAAAGCACATAGAGAAGCTGTGATCGTGCAGCCAAAGAGAATGGGATGTCATGAACTTGCCCTCACTCGCCTGTCTCCCTGCAATGCATGGAGAAAGTCAGTTGGACTGTTTCATTTGAGACACCCAGAGAACAGTCTTGAATCTTTACAACTTTACATGCCTTGTGTGAAAAGCCAGGGTGCTAAGACATGCTTGCAATAGCAGGTTTTCATAGAATATAAATGAGCTTTCAGTTGGTTTGCATTTATTCCAGATTGTCAGGAGAGTAGAGATTATGGGATATAAAAAATGCTATCAAAAGGTTTTGGGCTGGAGGTGCAGGAAAGGAGATTTTAGGACATTAGTTTAAACACAAATGGCTTCAGTATAGTCCAGCTATGTCCCAGACATTAACCCATTCAGGGACTTTGCACTGGCTGAGCTGGAGACCAAAAGGCAGATCTGTGTTTGAGAAATAACACTTTTCTGTTTTAAGAACAGATGGTGATTTGAATGGGGAATATTTTCTCTTCTGGACTATTCAAATAAATGTAGCCAGTTAATGCAAATTGAGGAATAGTTATACATCTCCTATTATGTCTAAGAAAATGTGGAACTACTTTAGAACATATAAAAGGTAGAAACTCCCTGCCCTGCATTGTAATGGCCCATTTTGTCCAGTGCCAAGAGAGGTTCCCAGCCTGCTTGGGAAAGCTGTTCCCCCGGGGAAGCATCATCTTTCCAGCTCTGTGTGTGGTACATCCAAGCTGCTGTAACAGTTTTAACTTGGGGTAGGCCAGATTCACCTCTGGTATAAACTCCAGTCTTAATTAAGCCAAGAACCTATTTAGCCTGCTATTATTTTTTCTGATAACCATCTTCTCATGGAGGACATGCCTGTGCCGACTCCCAGGCTGCGATTAGGGAAGAATCTGGCTAGAACTGTTGACAATATGTTTGCATAGTACTAAATACCATTTAATATGATCTATAAATATTTACACTTGGAGGAAGAGATTTGCTCTTTGCACAGTTTGCATGCTGGCATCTGCCAGACTGAATAAATTACTAATGAAAATCACATTGTGAAAAAAAAATTCCATGATGATTCTTTGGAGCTTTATTTTTTAAGACTGGTGTGATAAGGAAATACATTCCTTGGGAATTACATTCTCTGCAAAATACCAGTGCTGGAATAGGCACTATTGCTCTGTGCAACTGAGGCAGCACAGACTGCAGGAGCACTGGTTTTCCTAGGCTGACAAAAGAGACATTTTAGCTGGGGAAAGAGAGTCCTTGTTCTCCAGCAGCCAAGTGTACAATGGCTTGCTTTGGTACAATAATCTTGAAGATAACTGGATTTGTTTCTGATCCTGCATCTTTCCCAGCCCTGAATCCAGTCCCACCAAATCATGAGTCTGGCCAGCTCTTCTAATTTTTAAGCTTTTTCAGAGCATTTTGGCTTCCTCAAGCAAGATACTGCATACAAATCTTGACTATCATTCTAAATTGGTTTTGGTGTATGTGAGAAAACATATGGAAATGTGAAACAAGTGCCCTTAGAAGTGATAATGTGCATAAACTTATCTAAATTTCACTGAGATTAACTCCTCATATTTGAGCAGAGGATTTCCCATCCACTGATAGTAGTCATTTTAAAAATTTCATAATTAAAGCCCAAAACCTCTTTTTAAACTTGCTTTAAAGCCAAAACTCTCATGTAATTTAATTTTTAAAATATACACCAAGTTAAAGAACTGGTCACGAGTAGAGACCATTGAATTGCCTGGATTTGTAATTACTATAAAGCATTAAATGCATGCAAACAGCTATGAATTATCTTCTCTGTGCCCCCACAGCACTTTACAACATTATAACATTACTTGGGACCCATCAGGATGCTCCTGTTTATGTTCAAACTCCTAGAGCAGTGCCACTGGCATCATGTTACTGCAGCTTTGCCATGAAAAACGCATATCACACTCTGCCAGAAATCCTTCCTCTCAGAAGCCATGGGAATCTCTGAAGCACGAGTTAAATATACATTACCTCCTCACAGAAGCAGCCTGATATTTCTAGCAGTGCATTGTCAGATGTGTATTGTACCTGACATCATGGGGCAATGTGTTCCAATGTCCTGCGCTCACCTGTCTTTACTTAGCTGTCTTTCTGTCTCTTCCAACTTTTAACTAAGTCTGGCTGAAAATGGAGAGAACCTGGGACCAAAGAGAGCCACAAACTGCACAAGGGGTATGGCAGAAAGGGGGTATCAGAAAACTTAAAATTGCTTTGGGGTCATGGCACAAGGCAGAAAGCAGCTCTTGAGAAGTTTTTAACCACAGCCCTGCCAACACGCTGCAGCCAGGAAAATCTCTTTGGCAAGCACAAATGAACACTTCATCCATGGAAGACGTTGTGAAGTCTGGATGGGAGTGCTGTTGTAGCTCACCTCTGGGCTGCAGTTGGCAGCTGTGCTAAATTTATGTGGCCAGGTACACACTTCTGCCATCCTATACCTATAGATCCTGTATATACCTATACATCCTGTAGGGTTATATAATAAACCAGAACTGGAGCTTGCCTGATGAATTCCAATTCCCAAGTGTCCAAATTCACTTTTGTGGGATTGTTGTGAGAATTGTTGTTGGTTGTTCTAGCATTGGGATTTCTCCTGACGCAGAGACTCCAACATCACCACAAGGGGGAGAATGTGGTGTTTTCTGCTTCTGTTTGTAATGTCCGTGCTGAGAAAGATGTGGGACTTGTCCCATGCTTATTGTACAGACACACACAAAAGCTGGTTCTCACATGCAAAACACGATTCTGAAAGGGGGCAGACAGGCTTTGCTTCACTAATGTGCGTGGAAAACACTTCCAGTAAGTGAATTTATGGATTTTTCCTAAGGAAAAATGAAACATGCTGTTGCTGGTCAGTACAACCTGCCTTATCCATACCAAGATTCTATGCACACCTTCTATGCACACCCTTCCTGGCGTAGGTGTGACCGTACAGGGAATAGAAGGGCTGGAGGACAGAT